TCAAAGGTCTTCAACGACCAGCAAGGTGAAGGAGTTTGCTCTGTCTGTCACATGCTTCTTTCTGAAGGTTCATGCAATCAGTCAATATAAAAGTAAAATAAAATAAACAGACGATTACTCAAACGCACAGATCTGAGATACACACAAATATGGTTGAAATATCACATACAGCCTAGAGATGTGATGGAACTGCAGGGGGGGCATTCACTGAATTTTCCATTAATGGGGACAGTGTGCCTGCCTATCAAACATGTACTCCTAATAATTCTCAGGTCCATCTCTGAAGGAGGTACACAATATGACCAGTTTTGACTTTGTTGTCTGAGTAGTAAGCAGGTGCAGCGGGCCTTCATCTGCCCTGGCCTACAGCCAGGGCCTATTTGGCTATTTGCCCAGTTCGGCCTGTGGGACCAGGCCGTGGCCTGAGCCCACAAGCCGTGTGTTGTTCTAGTCTTGCCCGGTACCACTGTCGGTACCAGGCCAGTCCAGTCCAGTCAATCAGTCCACTGGGAGTCTGCGTCGGAGTTGCGCTGTCCCTTCCAGCTCCATCTCTATCTCCTCCTTCGTCCACCCTTCTTCTTCATCCTGTCGGACCGCCATCCTGGCGGGTCCGGCAAACTGGTATCAGAGCAGGCGTTTCTCCCTGCTCCCCTCCCCCATCCACCCCCTTCATCATTTCACACGTGGCTTGAGCAAAAAAACTCACCACTTCACGTTTATTATGATACCAGTGCACGCTTTTAATCATAACTTCTGAATCCGGTGTCAGAATTTTTTCATCTTTAGCTTGTTGGAAATCTCTCGATGAGTTGCTTCCAACGAGCCATAGATTGTTAAATTCTGTCGCTAGTTTTGGAGCTACGGTCGTTCAAAGATCGCGATTTTGTTTTTGTCAGCTCCAAAACCGCATGCGCTCGGTTTTTTTACGAGGGCTATTTCTACAGGCCGCGGCTGAAGTCGCGCCATATCTCGTTGGAAGCGCCTTCGAAAAAGCTTTCCAACAAATCCATTTTTGCCAAATTCCGCCCATCGGATCAAAAGTTATTGGCAAAAAAACGGATTTTCCCGCTCTCTCCTTTCTCCCTCCCCGTGGCCACGAGAGTGCTACGTGGCAATACTTGAAGACCCCCCTCGCTAGGGAGCTGCACTACACGTTGAGAATGTGAGTTTAGGAGATCAAGATCTCTCCCAAACTTTCCACTTGGAAGATCTGATCAGTCTGATTAGATCTTTCTGTCGTGCTGGCAGCTTGTAGCAGTTTGAAGACCCCTTCTTCCAAGGGGTTGCATTGGATCTTGGTGATCTTGTTGCTCTTGGCCAACCACGAGCCTGGTATCATTTCTCTCTACTAACCTACTCTCCCCCCCCCCTCTCTCTCTCCCCTACTCCATCTAATCACCTTTTCTAACGCTCCCACTACTCTCTCCTCCTCCCTCCCTCTCCACCCATCTTCCATAACCCTTTTCTCTCCTCTCCTCCCCACTCACCATTTCTCACTAATCTCATATGCTCCTCTCCACCTTTTTCATATCCTTCTCTCTCATTCGACCACCCTCTTCTCCTCCTTCCCTCCCCCAACTACAATCCCTTCATCTCCCCCATCCCCCACCTTACCTTTTTCTTTCTCTTCTCACTTCTTTCTCTCTTTCTTCATCACTTTTCCATCCCCCCCCACACCCAACTTCGAATTTTTCTGTTTTTCTTCTTTTCTCTTTCTCTTTGATGTAAAATTTTTCTTTTCCTCCAAAATTTTGAATCATCTTATTCCCTTCTTCTTTTCTTATTTTTTAATTTATTTTTTTTATTCTGAAAATTTGTAATTTTCTGCGGCACCTCTATATCTTGCTAGGACTTAGTCTTTCTTTGTTGTCGGCGCACATTTTGACCCCTTGGGGGTAGCGAAGCGCTGGCCAAATTTTTCCATTCTACTTAGTCTTTTTTTGACGGCACACTTCGACCCCATGGGGATAACGAAATGCTGCCGAAATTTTTGAAAACATTCCAAAACTTAGCTTCCCTTTACTCTCTTCCACCTCCTTATTTATTTATTTATTTACTCATTTATTTATTTTTTTCTGAAAATTTTAATTTGCGGCATTTTGAAAGTTAGTGTGTCCCTCTTGCACTTTCGTTCCTCTTGGCACATTTTTGACCCCATGCGGGGTGGGAAAATGCTGCCGAAAATTCCAAAAAAAATAAATATTCTCTCTCTCCTCACTCTTTACATTTTATTTATTTATTTATTTTTATTTTTATTTTTTTTTTTTTTTTATCTCGAAAATCCATTGTTTACTCTATTCTCCCTCCCCTCCATAGTTATTATTTTCTTTTCTTGATTAGGTTGCCGCCACCTTCCATTAACCACCTAAACTCCGGTTAGGGTTGCCTTAGGGTTTTTCTAGGGCTTAGGGTTCTCCTAAACCCCCTACTCTCCCGCCTCCTCCCGTCGGGCACCCTGGACCCGAACGGCTCCTCCCCCTTCGAGCGATTTGGCGCGCTCTTCTCACGCACGACCCGCCAAATCTGGGGTGAGCCGACTCACACATACTCAATCCGCTCCCGCGGTCCCCTTCCTCTTACCGGCGGGCCTCTCTCCCCCCACACCCCCGTGAGCTCTACCTCCCTTTTCCTTCCGGCCATGGAAGGGAGTTCCTTTGAGGAGATTACCGCGGTACTGTCCACCTCCCAGGTGAGCGTTCAGCCAGCGGGTCAGGGTCAGGCCCATGCGGACACGATGGACCTTCATGCCACCCTCGTTGCGATCCAGGCGCAACTTAGTACGCTTGGACCGTTGCAAGCGCAAATCAATGCGCTTGCCCTTGACGTCAACTGCCTCAAGGGCTCTCCTCATCACTCTCCCCACCGCTCCCATACCCCATCCCCTACCGGCTCCGAGTCCGTCTCCCCACGACTCCAGAGTCGGAGACATTGTGGTTCCCCCTCCTCTGCGGGCCAGGCCCAACACTCCCCCGCACCAGTGGCGAGTGCTGCTGCCGCTCAGACCACCCCGTCTGTTGCGGCAGTTCTTCCGGCCCCGGCGCCCCTACCGTCTCTACTGCTGCCGCAGGTGCTGCGGCCCAGATGCCACCATCTGGCCCCGCAGTTTCATCGACCCACCCCGGTGTTGCTTCCCAGCTTTTCGCACCGATCGCAGCAATACGACTCCGCCCTCTTCTTCCCGCCTTCGTCCCCCCACCCCCACAACAGGGGACCGCCCAGACTGGGATTCCTCCTCCCTCTACGAGACCCACTCTACCTCCTCCACCTCCGACCCCGCGCACCCAGCGAGTGGCCACGTTACAGGCCACCATCGTGCAGGCTCAGGGGGAAATTCTCGCTCTGAGACAGCCTCACCCATCACAGGCTGCCCACCCTTCCTTTTCGACCACCCCTTCGGTTCCCATGATGCAGGCTCGTYTCCCTCGACCTGCTCCTCAGCCTCTTCCCTCTTACCTGGCTATTCCGGGACAGCTGCCCGGGGTAGTTGCCTCCTCGTCTGCTAGTCTATCAGCCAGCGGCCACGGCCCACTGCCTTCCCCCACCTCCACCCCAGCAGCGGCGTCGACTTACGCCACCGCAGTGCACTCGCCTCGATCTCTCCCCCCCCGCCATCAGCGTAGTGAACATCCTCCTGTGCGCACCACGGACATTCCCGAGTATGATGGCACATCCCGTGTCTCTCGCTGGTTGCAGATAGCAACATGTACACTCACTATGACGACCACCCGTTAGGAGTTGTGGTGCGATGTGCTCGCAACCAAATTGCGAGGTAGCCCTTCCACTGCGTGGGAGGATCATTATACCCAACACCTCCGCGTGGGTGAAGTGCCCACTCTGGCCGACTTCGCGGCCTTCCTTCAGGACCGCTTCGGCGCTCGTCATGACGCCACCAACGCCTTAGACCGCGTCACCCAGACCAGATGGTCCAGGTCCTCTGTACCGGCCGACTTGGAGCGTCACATCCGGGTGTTTCAGGACACTCACCTTGTTTGTGACGAGACGTTCCTACCGGAGGTCACACTCACCGACCGGTTCCTTGTGAGCCTGCCCACTGACTACCGCCTAGAGCTATGGAGGCGATCATTCTCTTCCGCGGAGCAGGCATACGAGGCTGCGCGTCTGTACCAGAGGATGTGCAGTCGCTTCTCCGTGGCTCCATCCTCTTCGCGGCCAGCCGCCACCTCCCAGTCTCGGGGTACCACCCGAGGCCGCTCCTCGTTTGCTGGTCGTTTTCGTCGCCCGACTCGACCTGGGGTGCCATTCTCTCGGCACTACAGTTCTCTCGAGTATGGAGAGGACGCCTCAGCTGAGCTCGATCCTACCATTGGGGACGCCCCTGAAGACATCGAGCTTCGGGACGTCATCCAGTACCACTTGGATGACGACACTGTCCCAATGGCCGAGCGCCTGCAGATGGCCATGTCTACTATGGGTCCTGCATGCAGTCGGGTTGCATAGGTTGGCGCCCGCACACCCACAGGTCCTCAGATAGACCTCCCGCAGGGTTTTGTCCCTCCTCGCGGAGCTCTATCCCCCGAGGAGCGTGCCGCCCTCGAGGCCCGATGCGGCTGCCTTCGTTGCCGCCAGGATGGATACACCTCCTCAAGGTGTCCATACCACACCGCCCTCGATCGGTACTACGCTGACATTTCTCGTCAGCGCCGATCTCAGTCCCCCCCCGGCCCTGCCCGGCCAGCCCCACCCAGCTAGCCACAGTGCAGTGTATCCCTGAGGCCTCGCACGTAGCCAGCTTCTCGACCACTGAGTCGCGGTTTGCCCCTTTGGCTACCCCACCAGAGGACCCTTAGGATACGACAGACGCAGTTCTCTCTGGCCCGTCGTCTGTCGAGGTACCGTCTGCCTCCCCGCAGACCGCCACATCTAGCGCTTCTCCCCCGAGACTTCCGACGCGTCGCGCCATTCGCACAGCCCGTTGTAGCGCTCAGCTGGCGACTCGCGATGACGTTGTGTCATCTCTCCTGGACTTGAGCATTCTGCAGGCTCGTCAGGAGCGACTCACGAGGCACGTCAACGTCCTGCGTCGTCTTCTTGCTCTGCTCTTTGATCCTGATCGCACCCTACCGATTATCCCTATCCGCCTAGGGATATTTACAAGGGTGTATCGCGCTTTATGGGACTCTGGCTCGCAGGGAGATTTCGTTCACCCCCGAGTGGTTGAGGAAACTCGCCTAGCTACCTCTGGGTCTCGCTCTCCTATCTCCGTTACCCTCGGAGATAACAAGACGCAGCGCTTCTTCGATCATGAGGTCCCCGACCTCCACTTCTCCCTCACTCTCCAGCCATCGGATAGTACCCAGACGCCTAGGCGCTACCATTCCTCCGCATACTTCGACGTGCTGGAGACTGGGTACGACTTTGTCCTTGGCACTCCCTGGTCTCGCCAGTTCCGCAGCACAGAGGCCGAATGGGCGACCGAGACACTCGTTCTCAAAACGAAGTGCGGCCAGACCCTTCGAGTCCCCTTTATTGGAACCACGGGTGACACCCCCCCAGACCTACCTCCCCAGGACCCTCGTCCCTCTGGGTCCCACCCAGACATCGCGTTCACTTCCCCTCGTCAGTTTGCTCACTTCATCCGAGAGGAGGACGTCACATTCTACTCAGTGAACGTCATGGATCTTCTTCGCTACGATCCACTCTGTCCCGAGGTTGAGCTCATCTCACTGGAGCCCGATCCCCCTGACCCTTCCTCCATCTTTGCGGCTCCCATCTCCACATCCACCCGTCAGCCTGCGGATACCCCCTCCACGTCCCAAGCCCCTGCGCTGCCGACCGTTGAGTCCACATATATGTCTCATGACGACGCAGACGCTGAGGAACTCACACGGTTCGCGACAGACTTAGAGCCCGCCGTTCGCGACCTGATTCGAGAGTACCGCGACGTCTTTCCCCCGTACTTCTCATACAGCGGGATTCCCCCGATGCGCGGTGTTGAGCATTTTATCCAGCTCGTGCCTGACTATCGTGTTCATCATCAGGCACCATACCAACTCTCGATTCCAGAGGCGACGAAACTCAAGTGTCAGCTTGAGGAGCTCCTTCGACTGGGTTTCATTAAGCCCAGTAGCTTCCTTTGGGGTGCACCTGTCCTCTTTGCTCGCAAAGCAGACGGAACTCTTCGCCTCTACATCGACTACTGCGGCCTTAACTGTTACATGGTTAAGAACAGCTATCCCATGCCTTGCGTGGATGAGCTGTTTGACCGTCTGGCAGGCAACCGCTTTTTCACGAAGATCGATCTTCGTAGCGGTTACCACCAGATCCACGTTGCCACAGAGGACCAGCCGAAGACCATCTTTCGGTCGCGCTTCGGCCACTACGAGTTCACGGTGATGCCATTCGGCCTCACCAATGCGATGAACGACATCTTCAGGGACATCCTTGAAGAATACGTTCTCGTATACCTGGACGACATCTTGGTCTACAGTCGTACCTTAGAAGACCATCTCAGACACCTCCGCGATGTCCTACAACGCTTACGCAAGCATGACTTTTATGCCAAGCTCAGTAAGTGCCGCTTTGCCCAGCGCAAAGTGAACTTCCTTGGACAAAATGTGTCTGACCACGGTCTCCACATGGACGACGCGAAGATCACTGCTATTGCAGAGTGGCCCGTCCCCACATCTGCCAAGCAGCTTCGTAGTTTCCTAGGCCTCACCAGCTACTATAGTAATTCTATCTAGGGATACGCTAGGTATTCCTACGTTCTTACCTCCACCCTCCTCCGGAAGAACCTGCCGTGGTTTTGGACACCCATGTGCGAGGACGTCTTTCGCGCCCTCAAGAAGGCGGTGACTTGTGCGTCATTTCTCCGCCTCACCGATTTTGATCGTCCCTTTATCGTCACCACCGATGCATCAGATTTTGCAGTAGGAGTTGTCCTTTCTCTAGTGTTTCCCTCTCCTCTAGATTCACCTTACCCCCATGTTCCTCCTTTCCTTCCCCCTCCTGCTGACACTGCTTCTCGACTGACGCCTACCCTCCCACCACTTCCTCCACTGACAGTCCTCCTCTTACTTACTCCCCGACCATCGCGAAGGATGAGACTGTCGAGGCTCGTGCTGGGGATCGCCCGATCGTTTTCTACTTCCGTCAGCTACTGCCTGCCGAGATAAACTACACTATCGATGAACGTGAGGTTCTCGCAGTGGTTTATGCTACCTGGCATTGGCGTCATTATCTGCACGGGGCACCCTTCACGGTGCGCACGGACAACTCAGTTGTCCAGGCTTTCTTCACGAAGCCTAAGCTTTCCCCTCGACAGACACGCTGGTGGTGTGACTTATCCGAGTTCAGTTTCACCACTCAGCCCATCAAGGGTGAAACAAACTGCGTCGCCGATGCCTTGTCTCGCCGTCCTGATCACAATCAGGAACCCATCCATCTTGCTGCCATCTCCATCACCACTGTTAATCAGGCGGTGATCGACGCGTATCGCACTTAGTACCGCCACTGCCCCGATTATCGCGTCATCCACGCAACACTGCGGAGTGGCAAGACCGTCCCTTCCTACTCCCTCGGGGAGAACGGCCTTGTGTACTGGCATGGCAGATCTGGTTAGCTAGAACCACGTATCAACGTTCCCTCCACTTGACAGCTCCGCGTCCAGGCTGTAGCAGAGTTCCATGATCAGGCAACTGCCGGTCATATGGGTTTCCACAAGACGTTGGCTCGTGTTTGCCGCCTATACGTCTGGCCGAAGTCCAAGGACTTTGTCAAAGCCTACATCCAGGAGTGTCCTACCTGCCAGGAGGTGAACAGTGCGAACCACCTTCCGTATGGGTTACTTCAGCCCCTACCCATACCTGAGGGTCGTTGGCAGTCCATCTCGATGGATTTCATTGGTCCCCTCCGCCCACCCACTAAGTGTGGTCATGATGCTATCTTGGTCGTCGTCGATTGCTTCACGAAGCGTGCACATTTTGTCCCGTGCCGCTATCGCATTAGCGCTCATGAGGTCACCGACATCGTCTTCGACCGAGTCGTGAGAGATGACGGCTTACCTCATAGCATCATCTCCGACCGTGACCTGCGCTTTACCAGCACATTCTGGCGACGCCTACACGAGGTGTACGGATCCCAGCTCCGCTTCTCATCGTTTTACCACCCTCACACGGATGGTCAGACTGAGGTCACCAACAAAACTCTCGATAATATCCTCCAAAAGTTTGTTAGGGATGACCAGCAGTGGTACTTACACTTAGCCCACGCGGAGATTGCGTACAACCACGCTGTTTCGCCAGCCACGGGGATGTCGCCATTCTATTGCGACCTCGGCTACCACCCTCACGTACCCGCAAATTTTCTACGACCATCGCGGTTGCGCCCAGACACTCGTTGCCCTCCGCTTGACGACTGGATCGCCCACATGGCGGCGATTATGAAGCGCGCACACGAGAGTTAACCGACTCTCAGACTCGCATGGCCGCACGAGCGAACCGATCACGAATGAATCATCCATTCAAAGTCGGTGACGATGTGCTCGTCGACGCACGCCACTTACACCTCGAAGCAGATACACTTCGCAAGTTCAGGCGCCGTTTCGTCGGTCCATGCCGCATCCTTCAGGCCGTCGGTTCTGATACTGCCGCTAGTCCGGTCAGCTTACGTGTGAAGCTACCTGATTACCTTCGACATGCTCGCGTACACGATGTTTACCATGTCTCCTTGCTGCGTCCTTATCGCAGACCGTCTGAGCGCTTCGTCGGACGCCCTTATGAGCGCCCTCCACCTATCATGGTGGACGGTCACGAGGAGTTCATTGTTTCCGACATCGTATCACGTCGAGTTACCGACGATACCCCTCCATGCATCGAGTACCTTGTGCGTTGGAAGGGCTACCCTGATGAGGAGGCTACTTGGGAGCCCCTCGAGCACTTGCAGCATGCCAGGATGTTGGTGCGTGCATATGATCGTGCTCGTCGTGCTGAGATATCTGTCCCTGCTCAGCCGACTGACCCTCTTCCTCCTCCTCCGGCTGAGGAGATTGATGAGGACGACCCCGCTCTCTCTGAGGTCATTCCTCAGCCGCAGACTGTCGCCTCCGAGTGTCCACAGCGCACTCATCGTCGCCCTTCGCGTTACGATGACTGATACTCTCATCCTCTATCTTTCCCCTACTGACTCACACCATCAGGTACTCCATCATCAGCTTCTTCACGATGTCAGCGTTTTGCAGCTCTGCTTTGATATCGACTCGACTGCTACTTCATCGACGTCATCGATCACTTCAACGACTTCAACTACCTTATCGGCTTCAGCTACTTTGGACGTGACTACTTCACGCCACCACCCTACCCTGTACATTCCCTTGCATCTGTCGCATGATGGTTCTCACTTAGCTGGGTCTCTTTGAGTTGGGCTCTCCCTTGGTATCGCATAGGCATTGGGACCGTCGCGTTATCTTGGCTTCCTTGCTCCCAGATCTAGCTCCCCCCTCCCCCAGTCGGTGAGTTGTGTGCATGTTTCCCTCACCCACTGGCCTCATCACCCTAGTGCCGGCCCTTGCATGCCTTCAGTTAGGCATATCTCCACCCTATTCCAGGCTCCCCCCTTTTTTCATGGTCGACCCTGCATGATGTCACCATTTTGTCGAGCATTACCCGCCTTGATGGTCTATCTGTTAGGGTCATTGGTTTTGTTTCGCTACCACTCTCCCACCTTGAGCCTGATGACCTATCCCAACTTCATGTGTGACTGCCCTTAGGAGTTTCGATTCTTAGGCTGCATTCACCCCCTCTTAGACCATCCCACTCTTAGTGGTTCAGCGACATGACATTATCTTCTGACGTATTGCTATTTTCCTTTCAGCACTGAGGCCACTGCCTCCAGGATTTTAGGATTATATCATACTACATTTCATTTTCTGCCGTTAGCTAGGATATGTATACCAGACATTTGTTTTTCTTTGACATTATGTAGTTTAGGATGCATCGAATGGACTCCGCATGGAGCTTGCTCCGCATCCTAGATTTCTCAACTTTCTTTATTGCAGAGTTCCGTTGCTTTTGCGGACAGCGTGTTTATGGCTCTTGCGATCCATTACAGGTCTGAGGATCATGCAGCGGACCTTCATCTGCCCTGGCCTACAACTAGGGCCTATTTGGCTRTTTGCCCAGTTCGGCCTGTGGGACTAGGTCGTGGCCTGACCCCACAGGCCGTGTGCTGTTCTAGTCCTGCCCGGTACCACTGTCGGTACCAGGCCAGTCCAGTCCAGTCAGTCAGTCCGCTGGGGGTATACCCCAACAGTTGTCTGTTTTTCATCATTCTTCACTTTCGCAGATCTTGGAATACGTGCATGTGGAGTCTGCATCGGAGCTGCGCTGTCCCTTCCAGCTCCATCTCTATCTCCTCCTTCGTCCACCCTTCTTCTCCATCCTATCGGACCGCCATCCCGGCGGGTCCGGCACAGCAGGTAACCCAATTAACCACTTTTAGACACGGGTGGTCGTTGTGTTGCCTCTAACCATGATGTCCAAATATTAATGGATTGAAAATTTGAACGGTGAAGCCTTTTGTGTTGAAGTCCCCCTGAAGCGTGTGAAAACGGATCGTCAATTGCTACTCTGTGTGAAAACTTTCGAACTTTCAACTAAGATCACGTCCAAAAATCCCGCAAAATTTCCATATTGAAGGAAGATCTTTCATCCCCTTCATAGTGGGTGACTTCTCCCTCTCGTGTACACTCTCTCTCTCTCTCTCTCTCTCTCTCTCTCTCTCTCTCTCTCTCTCTCTCTCTCTCTCTCTCTCTCTCTCTCTCTNNCTCTCTCTCTCTCTCTCTCTGCTGCACTGTCAGTCTCCCCACTCTCTCTCTCTCTCTGCTGCGCTGTCACTCTCCCGCCGGTTGGCAGATCACTGGAAATGTACTCCCCCGCTAGCAGCAGGTTACCTGATTGGCAGTTCACTTGAAATGTACTCTCCCGCTGGCAGCGGGTTGCCCGGTCGGCAGATCATTGGAAATGTGCTCCCCCGCTAGCAGCGGGTTACTTCATTGGCTGCTCACTTGAAATGTACTCTCCCGCTGGCAGCGGGTTGCCTGATTAACAATTCACTTGAAATGTAGTCTCCCGCTGACAGCGGGTTGCCTGATTGGCAATTCACTTGAAATGTACTCTCCCGCTGGCAGCGGATTGCCCGGTTGGCAGACCACTGGAAATGTGCTCTCCCGCTAGCAGCGGGTAGCCTGATTGGCAGCTCACTTGAAATGTACTCTCCCGCTATAGCGGACCTACCAGGTGTGGTGCTCCGCTAGTGACAGAGATGGAGATGGAGGAAGAAGGGGGGAGCAAGATGGCACAACACAGCTCCCCACGCAAGACTCCAACGCACGTACTCCAAAATGTGCAAGTGAGGAATGAAAATGAAAACAGACAATAGCTGGGGTATACCCCAGCGGACTGACGCGACTGGACTGGACTGGCTGGTACCGACAGAGGTATCGGCCTGGACTGGCCTACCCCGAATACAACACAGGCCTGTGAGAACAGGCCAAGGGGCTGGTCTCACAGGCCAACCCGAGGTCCGCTACACGATCCTCGGCCTGTGATGGATCGCCTAGATACAAACATGCTTTCGCCAAGAAGCGGAACTCTACCACAGAAAAGAAAACCTGAGTAGTCTAGGATGCGGAGCAAGCTCCATGCTGAGTCCATACGATGCAACCTAGGATATAAAATGTCACAAAACAACAATGTCACAGCGAACAACCTAAGTGAAAGTAGAAGCAACTAACTAACATATATGTCATAGGAAAGCAAAAGCAACTAACATGTCCTAGGAAAGCAGAAAGTAGTGACAACTAGATCCTAGAATGTTGGAGGCAGTAGCCTCAGTCTGAGAGCAACAAAGCAATCAACAAGACAACCGTATGTCACATGAGAAGTGTGTCGCAAACCAAAGGGTGGGATGGTCTCTRAGGGTGGCGAATGCAGCCTAGGGGTCGAAAACTCCTAAGGGCATCCACACATAGTGACAGGGGAAAACACATGTCATCAGGCTCAATGAGGGTAGGGAACTGGGAGCGAACAGAACCAATGACCCTAACAGATAGACCATCAGGACGGGTAATGCTCGACTAAGGGGTGACCGCTATGGAAAAAATAATAGAAAATAAAGAGGAAAGTGATTTTCTTTTGGAATTTTATGCAAATTAAAAGGAAGGAAAATAAAAAAAAGTAATCCGATAACTTTTTACCTTAAACCTGAAGGGATACCACAAAAAAAAAAAAATTGTGGTGATCTGGGGATTACGGTGCGCATGCGGTCACATACAAAATAGAAACCCTAATGGTGCTAAACCCTACCGAGCTAATTAGATATAAAGTAAATTATGTATAATATAATTCGCTTCTTTTATTACTAACTGCTGAACCGAGCGATTTTGGCCGGTAGACATCCGACCAAATTCGGTCGATTCGTTTGTCAGCAAATTTTGAGATCTTCCACGGGTTAAACGGACGGAGAGAAACTTGGGAATAGCATTTTAATTGCAAATGGGCCATTAAATTATTAAAATAAAAATACTTTTTTATTTTTTTTTACTCGAGATTTAAGCGGATTCAAGCCAAGAGCGCCGGAAGTGATTTTGATCGGCTGAATTTTCCAGAACTTTTGACACATTTCTTGTGCAAAACAGACATACGATACTCCACGAAGAAATTAAAACGTACAAAACAGTTTTAAATTATTATTATTTAATTTCGGTAAATTCTAATTAATATCAAACGAATGGTTAAAAATTAAAATAAAATCATCTAAAAATATTTTTGTGATTCTGATCATCTGGAAATTCATTCATTTTGACGGCGCACCGATTAGAGGGAAGTTCTAAATACCCTCGAATAGAACACATGCTTTATATTCGAATACAAAGTGCGTATTCCATTTGGACTTACCGCACTTTCTATTCGAGTATAACATCAGGAGTTATATTCGAGTAACCACGGAGTGTGTATTCAAATAGAGCACATGGTTTATATTTGACATTTTTCAAATAAGGGATATGGGCCATGTTTGAACCGGAATTTTGAACCCGTCTCTATACGGGTCAGTCCAAGCATTGGTTATGCTACCCGGATGAGGAGATTAGTGAGGCTTCGGCCCGACTCCAAACCGCAAGGGCTCGGTCGGCCTGCGTCAGGAGATCGATCTCCCTGTTAGGCCACCTTGACACCTCCTTTCAGACTACCTTGTGCCTAGCTCAGAGGGAGTGCCCTGTGGCTGGGAAGACTCTCGCTTGAGGCCCAAGCATGAGGAGCAGCCATTTTTCTGGACCGAGGATGATGGGTTAGGGTACCTCCCTCTAGGGGGGATAGTTTTTCGCCAATCGCGTGCTTTACTGAGGGCTTTTGTCCAAACCGACCCTCCGGGGTGGGTAGATGCTGCCGAAAATTTTTAAAATTTGTGTTTTTTTCTCTGTTTCTTTCTATCTTAGATTCATTTGGGCATAGCTCTCCGACCAGAATTAGTTCCTTTTAGGCAGGAAAGTCCTAGTAATGGAATTACCCGGCCAAAGCATTAGGTCCGGGCTGTCAGCTCAAGTATTAAGTCTGGACAACCCGCTTAAACAATAGGTCCGGGCTACTGCGAGGGTACCTACGACACGACATGGAGCGCTTATGAAATCGGACACAATGAGAGCAACTCGAGATGCCACTGAGTATTCGACGGTTGGGTATCATTTCTCGCCTGCTCGAGTACTTAAGGAACTAAAAGAACGCATCTGAGGGGAGTCACCTTTGAGGTGTATAGAGTAGGGTGACGACGGGGAACCAGGAGTGATGGAAGTACCCGCTGAGAAGAGTCCCGATCGAGTGGTGATTCTGATGCGCGGGAAGAGTAAGACCGAACCATCGAGTCGTGAGTTGGTTAGAGAGGATAGGCATCATTCAGATCACCTACGACAGGAGCGAAGAGACGGTCAAGAACGAAGAGAGAAGAGGGATGAATGGGAGAAAGAGGAGCGAAGAAACCGATATCTCAGAGATGGAGACCGGCATGATCGAGAGCGAGTGTCGGCCAGGACGCCCCCGAGACGTTATTACGACCCGGAGACTGGAGAGTCTCACACTCTTTCAGATGACTAGAGGGATAGGTACATTATTTTGTACCAACCCACCGAGTTAGATTTGCGTCCTCCTGTTTTCAGAGGATACAGGATCTCCGAGTATCTTGGCAAGTGGAAACTCCATGGGTATCGGAGCCGATGGACAAAAGAGGATCTTATAGATAACTTCGCCTTTAATTTTGATTCGAACCTTGTGAGTGAAGTTAAGAGTGAGAAGCCAGGGGATAGGCGATGGAAGACTTACAGGGAGAACCTCTACCAACGTTTTAAGGATGAGGAGATTAGGTACTCCATTAATGACCTCAAGTCCTTAACGCAGGGCGAAGACGAGAGTGTTTGCACCTTTGGGAGAAGATTCGAGAAGATGTCGAAGGCGTTGATGGCAAACGGCAAGTTGTCTGAAGTGCAAAGATGCACCATATTTATCTGTCGACTGCCTAAAGGCAAACAAAAGGGCATTCTGCGGGATCTATCGCGAGATGAGCTCGAGTTCTCTGAGGTCCTAAAGCTTGCTATCAAAGCAGCGAATGATGATTACAAGGACCTAGTATGGAGCGAGTTAAAACACTTGGAAGCTACCCCGCGTGATTTAGTGCTCGAGAAGTATCCGGATATTGACGATAGACCCTGGGCACCTCGACAGTATACGTTCGATGAGCCTAAGACCCGACCGGAAACTAAGGTTGATCCTATAGAGAAATTGACCCAAGTGGTTCAAGGCTTAGCAAAGGAAGTCTCTGAGATGACGACAAAGACTGAGGTAGTCGGGTATCGTGAGAAAGAAACTCTTTCTCCTTATTCTTTGAGATGGGATAGGAGAGATACCGGGCCTTGGAGAGACATCGAGAAAAGGAATCCCAGAACCCTTGCCGATTATAGAACGAGGGAGCAACTTGATCCACCGAGGAGGGAGCGACAATATGGAGATAGACGAGAGTCTTTCTCCCGACCTCGAGATGATGACTTCGGAGGGAGAGACGATGACCGCCGTCGTAATGACCAGTCTGAGATCTATCCGGACCGCAGAGATGATGCTTATCACAGTCCGCGCTATCCTCAAAGAAGGGAGGAATACCCTAGGAGTCCTGGATATGACAAGGAGGCCAAAAGTTATGACGAGAGAGATCATCGTGATGATTCGCGTGGTAGGGACCGTCGAGAGGACTCTAGAGGTCGGGATCGGCGCGATGAGGCATAGGGCAAGAATGGAAGGGACTCTAGTCAAGACGTAATAGCGGGGAGTCAAGGCCCCAGACGTCCGGACGACAGACCTCCTACGCCACGTAACACCTGCGTGTACTGCTGATCAGAGGCTCACCTTAAGAGGGATTGTCCTGATCTGAGGAAGGTCATAGAGAAAGGAATCATGATGCTTAACGAACGGAAGTACGTCAAGTGGGCTGACGACATGGGGGATGTCTCCATGTTTCTTTCGATGAAGGAGAATGTGGAGGCTAGACGGACGCGTGATGGCAAGGGTAAGGAGCCCATGAGAGGGCAGAGCGTCCAGGTAATCATAGAGTCTGAGGATGATACTCCTAAAACCCCTATTCGGGTGGCATCCACCAAAACGTCGCGGGGGACTTCTTCCAAAAAGACTAACCCAGACATGGTCATGATCGACAAGGAAGAGAACAAAGAAGAAGGTGGGGTTTTGTCTCCGCGAAAACAGGGTCAGAAGAAATTCATAATGAAGAGTTCTCTGGATGAGATAGACACTGCGAAGCCATTGAAACGGGCTCTTAAGCAACCAATACAGTGTTCTATGTTGGAATATCTGGCTGCTTTCAAGCCAGCATGTGAAGAGTTGTTGGGTCTCACCAAAAAGGCTTGCATACCTATGATAGGGGAGGGTCCTTTATCGCCTGAACAGGGACAGGTCGTTGCCGCCAGTGCTAGAGCAGACAGGGCGGAGTTTCTTGATGATCAGGGGGGATTCCCCATGGGCCGTTTTTATGTGCTCGACAGTGGCACTGTCGAAACGATCATAAACGGAGAGGTGGCTCTTCATGGTGTAGTTGATAATGGCTGCGAGGCAGTCATCTTCGATGAGAAGCTTGCGGAACAATTTGATCTCGAGCTACATAGATCAATTCGATTCGAGATAGAAACAGCAGTCAAGACAAAACAAGACGTGTTCGGGGTTTGCCATGACGCGACCATTGAGGTAGAAGGGGTTAAGACCTCTCTGCCGATATTCGCCGTCAGGGATTGCAATGCTAATATCCTACTAGGGCGAACTTGGCTAAGTAGCGTACACGCGATTATTACGGAACGATCTGACGGAAGTCAGATGGTGTCTATCAAGCGACCGGATGGTCTTCGCATTTTGCTCGAAACTGTCGGTGGGAAGGACCCCAGGAGCAGGGCTGTTTTATCCGGAGGAGCTAAGGCAAAAGAGAGGTTTAGTAATCGGAGTCTCCAGTTCTGCGAAAAACGATATACGCCGCTGCTCACTGAGGAGAAAGGTCGACTGGTGAAAGTCGAAGACCTTAGAGACAGGTTTGAGGTAGATGGGGTGTCGTATCCCAAGGATAGAGCCGAGGAGATTGTCGGCATTGTATCGGTGTCTTTTTTAAGGGTAAACCCCCGTACGGGGGACTACCAAAGAGACACAAGCGAGTAGCGGACAAAGTCAAGCCAGTGGCAGTGAGCCGCGGACGATCTGCGCATGAGGGAATATCCGAAGAAGAAATCGCTAAGGAAATCAAGAAGAAAAAGAAGAACGAACCGCAACGACTAACGCCAGAAAGAATAGCAGGAATGGATATTGGAGATGGAAATCTTACCCCGCAGGAGAGGGAACGGGTGATAGAGGTTCTTAAGTCCTGTGACAAAGTTGTAGCGTTCAACGATGCCGAAAGGAGAAGGATTGATCCAAGGTATGCTAAACCAGCTAGGATCTACACGATTCCCCATACGCCCTGGAATGATATTGGGTGGAAGTATGCTCAGAAGGAGAAAGAGCAAGTGGTGGCGTTTCTAAAAGAAAAGATGGCGTCACACGTAGCGGAACCATCGGATAGTGCCTACGCTAATAGATGGTTCTTCATACGAAAACCAAACGGAAAAATCAGATGGATTCAAGATCTACGAAAAGTAAACGCGGTCGGTTCCTCACGCGGACCTATTAGCTGAGGGGGCAGCTGGAAGATCTATCTACTCGGTTTGTGATTTATCCTCCGGGTATGATGAGATTTCACTAAACCCAAGGGATAGACACGTGACCGCGATGCATACTCCACTGGGTCTAGTCCAGATGATGGTCGTACCCATGGGATGGACCAATGAAGTGGTTGTGTTCTAGAGAGCAATGGTCGCGGTATTAAAAGACTTCATACCGAACAAGGTTGAAGTCTTCTTGGATGATTTTCCTATCAAATGTCCTGTGGAAAAGGATGAGACAGAGGTTGTGCCTGGAGTGCGGAGATTTGTGGAACAACACCTCACCGACATATACGTTGTGCTGGAACGTTTGGACGACGCTAATCTTACGATCAGCGGTACAAAGAGCAGATGGGCGGTGTCGTCGATCAAGATTTTGGACTTCATTTGTGATCAGAACGGTCGACGAGTTGACCCGGCTAAATTGGAAAAACTCCTAAACTGGCACTCACCCATGAACAGTCCTACTGAGATACGTCAGTTCCTAGGTGTCGTGGGTTACTGGCGGATCTTTATTCCTCGCTACGGCGAGAAGGCGGAACCTCTAAGATTGCTTCTCACGAAGGTGGCGCCGTTTGATTGGGGGTCCTCCTAGGAGGCTTCCATGATTGCGCTAAAGGAGGAGTTTAAGGAGAGAGGCTTCTGTTCTACAAAAGGATTTCAGCTTGACTGATCCCACTATCGCGGGGTGGTTTATTAGGATTCGACTCTTCGACTATACAGTCGAAAGAATTTCAGGGACCAAGAACGCAGTCGCTGATGGATTACCACGTATTCCGCTAGAGGAAGAGCGACCGATATTTGCAGGAGCGCTCGCAATAGCTGAGCCGAGGCGGACTGATCGCTTTCTGGTTAACCTCTATGAGGGAAAATACCGGGCGATTGGTTTACACCTATCGGGAGGCGAGAGTTCGGACCCAGAGATTAGGAGGCAGGCAGCACAATTCTGTCTTAGGTCAGGGCATCTGTTTCGTAGACCTACTGGATCGAGAATGCCTCTACGTGTCGTATGTGATCGTGAGGAGAGGCAATCAATAGTAGCGGAGCTCCACGATGGCGTAGTAGGTGGACATAGAGGAGTGAAAGGCACCTATGAAAAGGTTCGCCGGCTATACTGTTGGGAAGGGAAGTACAAGGACGTAGAGGGGTATTGCCTGACTTGCAAGGAGTGTCAGAAGAGAGCCCTAGTGATGTACAAAGAGTCTCTTCATCCATCATATCCTACCAGACTAGGAGAGAAGGTTCATATTGACTTAGTGAAAATGTCTAAAGGTGTAGGGACCCTAAATTACGTGGTTAACATACGGGATGATTTCACTGGGTTTGTAGACGGCAAGCCTATCAGGACGAAATCGGCCAAAGAAGTAAAGAACTTTGTCCTCGAATATTTGTCTCGATACGGTTGCGTTGGTAGGATTGTGATGGATAGAGGAGCAGAATTCCTAGCAGACGAAGTCCAGAGTGTCTTCAAGAGGGCAGGAGCCAGAGTATCGATAGCCATGACCTACCACCCTCAATCCAACTCTACTGTTGAGCGAGGTCATCAGTCCTTGATTGCATCCTTATCGAAGTGGTGTAGAGGGAAGGACAGTGACTGGCCGCGATACTTCAGATATGCAATTTGGGCGGACAATGTCACGGTCCGGGCTAGTACAGGTTATCCTCCCTATACCTTATGGTTTGGGTGACATTGTCCTTTACTGACAGAGTTTCACGTCGACAGTTGGACTACGGTCGAGTGGGTGGACCGCATGTCGCGCGAGGAGCTTCTAGCAGCTTGAACGAGACAGATAGCGTACAGGTTGGAGGATAAACTCATGACAACAGCGGATCGGCTAGCGGTGGAAAGAGAAAAGGGGAAGGAAAGATGGGATAAGAATGTCAGGATTAGGAAGGAGAGGATATGTGAAGGGGATATGGTTCTTCTTTACGACACCACTTTGGAAAGGACTTGGTCAGGGAAAGAAGCTAATAGGTGGATGGGACCCTATCGCGTGGTTGAGGCAGTAGACTTGGGCGCCTATATGATAGCAGAACTGGACGGATCTAAGTGGAGGGATTCTGTAGCCGGCGCCAGGTTAAAATTGTTCAGGCCAAGGGGATCTTCGAACCGTGCGCCAACATCCTCAGATCCTACCAGAAAGGGAAAAACAAAAATGATAGATGAGTCCATGTCGACTCGGTTTGAGGTAGGAGAGAGTTTGAGGAAGAGGAAAAGAGTGGAAACCAAGAAGTTGAAGGGTTTGGTGTTAGGAAAGAGGAAAAAGTGGCTTTTCGTACTTAGGAGGCCCAAGCGGAGAGTCCGAATTAGGTGCGGGTGTCCGCCCAAACCACACCCGTCACGACAAAAAGAAAGGCGTAAGAGCCTTCCTCGAGCGGGACCCAAGCGACCGAGCCGTAGAAGGGATAGAAGCCATCTTCTAAGCCCTAGAGTCACCAGGCGGAATTGTAAAGGAAAGCCGATTAAGTGCAGACACAAGAGGGGTGTACGGGCAGTCTCGCTCGGACTTGTGCGAGTTCTCTGACCAGCACAGGGAAGCCTCGACGAGGACGTCGAGAAGTGGTCCGGGCTACTGTCGGGCGGCCAAATGCAGTTGGCCACCCGAAATCTATGAATTTAGGCCTCCCCCAAAGCGTCGGGCCAAGATCCTTAGGGGTTTGTAGTCGGACCGATCGAACGAAAGTAGGGGCTCCAAGAAGGACCCTAAATTCTCCTCCGCCAACTGTCGGCACTAACCCTTAAATTCGGATAATCTGAGTGGACGCGCCTACCGCAGCTGGGGCTTGCAATTTCCGTCTGTTCTGGGCCGTTTCCAGATCAGCCAGTCGGGGGCCAAGAATATGCTAGCTACCCTCCGCGCGGCATTTTTGGACTGACCGATTGATGAGGAATTAAGTCTCCAATTTTCATATAATCTAATAAAGAAAATAAAAAAAATGGTGAAAGATTAAAAAGGATAAAAAGAAAAAGAAATGAATGATTATTTTATTATTTAATGAATTTTACAATATTCTGCTCTTGATAAATTTTAGATTAAAAAAAGATATTTATTTATCTTCCTTCATTAATTCGTACAAATTTTTACTATTTAT